AACTCTTATGCTTTCAGTAACCTACCTCCTAAACCATACACCCCTGAAACTTTTTTTCCACATTGCCCCCCTATCCACCCAGTCATACGCCTTTTCCAAATCCATAAATGCACAAAGAACTCTTTAGCCTTATCTAAATACTGTTCACTTATATGTTTCACTGTAAACACCTGGTCCACGCACCCCCTACCTTTCCTAAAGCCTCCTTGTTCATCTGCTATCCTATTCTCCATCTTACTCTTAATTCTTTCAATAATAACTCTACCATACACTTTACCAGGTATACTCAACAGACTTATCCCCCTATAAATTTTTGCACTCTCTTTTGTCCCCTTTGCCTTTATACAAAGGAACTATGCACGCTCTCTGCCAATCCCTAGGTACCTTACCCTCTTCCATACATTTATTAAATAATTGCACCAACCACTCCAAAACTATATCCCCACCTGCTTTTAACATTTCTATCTTTATCCCATCAATCCCGGCTGCCTTACCCCCTTTCATTTTACGTATTTGCCTCACGAACTTCCCCCACACTCACAACTGGCTCTTCCTCACTCCTACAAGATGTTATTCCTCCTTGCCCTATACACGAATCACAGCTTCCCTATCTTCATCAACATTTAACAATTCCTCAAAATATTCCCTCCATCTTCCCAATACCTCTAACTCTCCATTCAATAACTCTCCTCTCCTATTTTTAACTGACAAATCCATTTGTTCTCTAGGCTTCCTTAACTTGTTAATGTCACTTCCAAAACTTTTTCTTATTTTCAACAAAATTTGTTGATAACATCTCACCCACTCTCTCATTTGCTTTCTTTTTACATTGCTTCACCACTCTCTTAACCTCTCTCTTTTCTCCATATACTCTTCTCTCCTTGCATCGCTTCTACTTTGTAAAAACTTCTCATATGCTAACTTTTTCTCCCTTACTACTCTCTTTACATCATCATTCCACCAATCGCTCTTCTTCCCTCCTGCACCCACTTTCCTGTAACCACAAACTTCTGCTGAACACTCTAACATTACATTTTTAAACCTACCCCATACCTCTTTGACCCCATTGCCTATGCTCTCATTAGCCCATCTATCCTCCAATAGCTGTTTATATCTTACCCTAACTGCCTCCTCTTTTAGTTCATAAACCTTCACCTCTCTCTTCCCTAATGCTTCTATTCTCCTTGTATCCCATCTACCTTTTACTCTCAGTGTAGCTACAACTATAAAGTGATCTGATATATCTGTGGCCCCACTATAAACATGTAGATCCTGAAGTCTACTCAACAGTCTTTTATCTACCAATACATAATCCAACAAACTACTGTCATTTCGCCCTACATCATATCTTGTATACTTATTTATCCTCTATTCTATTTATCCTCAATTCTATGTATCATTATTAAATAATTTAATATCCTTGACAGGACAACTTAATGGAAAGGCTGATGAATTTGTGTCCAGAGGAAACCCGATCTCTTCTAGTCAAGTATTTCAATAAGGTGATAGATCTTCGAATAGAATTCCGCAAACAGGAGATCGCTTTTTCTGATCTTGAGGTAAGAACTCGGGTTTAAGAAATTATCAGTTAGGTTACATAAATTTTATAAGAGTTAAACAAAAAATGTGTTTTCTCTCACTGTTATATAGTGTGATTATTATTATATTTACAATTGTACCACACTGTACCTCTGTAAGTGTACCTTTGTAAGTGCACTTCAACCATCTGTGCCTCTGTCTGTAAAAAAATAATTGGAATGTCAGCACTGAATAAAATGAAGTTAAGGGGGGTATTTTAATGGATAGAGGTTTTGTTTTGTGGAACTAAAAATCATTAGGAGTGTTAGGGTAGTCAAGGTGTGTCAGGAAACAGGAAAAGCGTTTCCTGACATGGGTCTTAGTCATGTGACCTGCAGCTGGATCTTTTGGTGATCTGACCGAGGCCTTCCACTGGCTTACCACTCCACCCCTTTAAAAATTATGATTATAGACAGGAGCAAATACAGACGAATGGTTTTTGGGACCTGACGAGCTGTTAGAGTGTAAGCAGGGTAATATTTTGTGAAGGGATTCAGGGAAACCAGTTAACCAGACTTGAGTCCTGGAAATGGGATGTACAATGCCTGCACTTTAAAGGAGGTGTTTAGGATATTGGCAGTTTGGAAGGACGTCTAAACTGTCATATCTGATCGCCTATGCAAAGACATTGATTATGTATGAGTGATGGTGAAAGTGTTGAATGATGATGAAAGTTTTTTCTTTTTGGGTTTTTCTTTCTTTTTGGGTCACCCTGCCTTGGTGGGAAATGGCCGACGTGTTAAAAAAAATAAATACAACTGTTACATTTTACAACTGTTAACTCAGCTCTTGCGCACAAGTTGCTGACATACCTGAGTATACCTGGAGAGGATTTTGGGGTCAGTGCCCTCGCGGCTGGTCTGTGACCAGGTCTCATGGTTGATCAGGGCCTGATCAACCATGCTGTTACTGTTGGCTGCACATTAACTGATGTACAAACCACAGCCCGGCTGATCAGGTATTGACTTCAGGCGCCTGTTCAAAGCCTTATGTATGCTGGGAGGCAGTTGAACAGTCTTGGGCCCCTGACACTTATTGTGTTGTCTCTTATCATGCTAGTGGCACCTCTGCTTTTCATTGGGGGGAGGTTTTATTGCCTGCCGAGTCTTTTGTTTGCATAGGGAGTGATTTTCGTGTGCAAATTTGGTACTAATCCCTCTAGGATTTTCCAAGTGTATATAATCATGTGTCTCTCCTGCCTCCGTTCCATCATTGCAGATTTGTAATGTTAGCAGTATTCCTGAGGCTGTTGACCAGTGGAGAACTTCTAGCATCTTCTGGCAGAGAGTTGCAGATTTTATGCACATTTTTATGCATATTAAGTTTCTACTGAGGTTGAGTCGAACACTTGGTACATAATGACGTATTTCTTGTGTTGTGTCTATGCATTTTATTGCTCCTCTCAAGCATGAATGATGTATGTGCTTTTATTCTCATTTTTTATGCTAGAACCAATATGAGGAGCAGTCACGGTATATTAGCGACCTGAAGGCAGCATATCAACAAGCTAGTCTGGAGATGGAGAGACGCATCACTTCACAGCAGCGTGATTACCAGCAAAAAATATCCACATTGTTAAGACAATTCAATGATGATTCTTCAGGTACGTAATTACTGTTCAATATAAAGCCTCTCCTCACTTAGTGACGTACTCGTTTACCAATGACACGTTCTTACAACGGGCTCTCTGACCAGTATGCATACCTAAATAATGTATATTAGAGCTGATTTCTTCTATTCTGTTTATTACAATATACAGTACAATACTGTATAAACATTTAAAAATATGCCAGAAATGATATACTAAATGGTGCAAAAGTGACAGTAAAATAATATCAAAGATGACTGACACAAACCCACCACCATTATAGTATGCTCCTCACTTAGTGACGAATTCGTTTACCGACGTGGTCTTAGGAACGGAACTCTGTCTTTAAGTGAGGAGAAGCTGTATTCTTGAATTACTTGACTGGGAGCAAGGGGCTAGTAACCCTTCTGTACACATTACTAAAGTTAAAAGTAGAAACTTTTGTTTTTCTTTTTGGGCCACCCTGCCTTGGTGGGATATGGCCGGTTTGTTGGAAAGAATGTATTGGCTAGTCTCTTATTATGATCACAATGCCTCGGCTTTTCATTGGGGTTGTTTTAAATTTTCTGTGTAAGTGAAATATTTCAAAATAAGATACTTAACTGTTGCATATATTTTTTTATTATTAACACATTGGCCATTTCCCACCAAGGCAGGGTGACCCAAAAAGAAGAAACACTTTCATCATCATTCACTCCATCACTGTCTTACCATAGGCACACCTACACTACAGTTAAAAAACTGCAACATCAGCACCCCTCCTTCAGAGTGCCGGCACTGTACTTCCCACCTCTGGGACTCAAGTCTGGCTTGCTGGTTTGCTGTTGCATGTGTGACTTAATTATCAATTTATTGGTATTGTATATCATCATACAATGGTACCTTGGTTTTCATATTTCCTAGTTTGTATGTAAAACTATAGTTATTCTCTATAAAATGTATTTTTTGTTAATATTTTTTGGGTGTCTGCAACGGATTAATTGGATTTACATTATTTTTTATGGGAATATTAACAAAAAATGCATTTTATAGAGAAGAACTATACTTTTACATACAAACTAGGATATAGGAAAACCGAGGTTCCATTGTATTCACAGTCGGCAAGACCTCTTGGTCATCCAGATGGCATTAGCAGCAGACATGTTTATGTAGCTTTACTCTTCCCACTTTTATGAATCATCAGTTTGTTGTCATAATACAGACATTTCCAGAAACTAGTAATAATGGTAGAGTTACCGACAAAATGTTAGGTAAATGAACACGTGCAGGTAATGTGACATTTTATTGTGGCAACGTTTCGCTCTCCAGGAGCTTCGTCAAGCCATTGCAAAGCTCCTGGAGAGTGAAACGCTGCCACAGTAAAATGTCACATTAATATTTCCAGGAGCTAAGTATATACAATAGTCCCCCTGTATCTGTGGGGATATGTTCCAAGACCTACTGTAGATGCCTGAAACTACAGATAGTAGGAAACCCTACATACAAGTCATTTTTCAGTTACATACATTTTTTTTTTTTTTTTTTTTCAACAAGTCGGCCGTCTCCCACCGAGGCAGGGTGACCCAAAAAAGAAAGAAAATCCCCAAAAAGAAAATACTTTCATCATCATTCAACACTTTCACCACACTCGCACATTATCACTGTTTTTGCAGAGGTGCTCAGAATACAACAGTCTAGAAGCATAAACATATAAAGATACACAACATATCCCCCCAAACTGCCATATCCAAACCCCCTCCTTTTAAAAAGTGCGGGCATGTACTTCCCCTTTTCCAGGATTTCAAGTCCGACTATATGAAAATAACCGGTTTCCCTGAATCCCTTCACTAAATATTACCCTGTCACACTCCAACAGATCGTCAGGTCCCAAGTACCATTCGTCTCCATTCACTCCTATCTAACACGCTCACGCACGCTTGCTGGAAGTCCAAGCCCTTACCCACAAAACCTCCTTTACCCCCTCCCCTCCAACCCTTTCGAGGACGACCCCTACCCCGCCTTCCTTCCCCTATAGATTTATATGTTTTCCCCCATGTCATTCTACTGTGATCCATTCTCTCTAAATGACCAAAACCACCTCAAAAACCCCCTCTTCTGCCTCTGACTAATATTTTTATTAACTCCACACCTTCTCCTAATTTCCACACTCCGAATTTTCTGCATAATATTTACACCACACATTGCCCTTAAACAGGAATCTCCGCTCCCTTTCCAACCGTCTCCTCGCTGCTGCATTTACCACCCAAGCTCACACCCATATAAGAGTTGGGACTACTATTCTTTCATACATTCCCTTCTTTGCCTCCCTAGATAACGTTTTTTGACTCCACATATACCTCAACGCACCACTCACCCTTTTTTTCCCCCATCAATTCTATGATTAACCTCATCCTTCATAAATCCATCCGCCGGGCACTCAACTCCCCAAATATCTGAAACATTCACTTCTTCCATATCCTCCTCCCCAATTTGATATCCAATTTTTCTTTTTTCTAAATCAATTTTACACCCTCATCACCTTACTCTTTTTTATGTTCACTTTCAACTTTCTACCTTTACACACATTCCCAAACTCATCCACTAACCTTGCAATTTTTCTTTAGAATCTCCCATAGCACAGTATCATCAGCAAAAAGTAACTGTGTCAATTCCCCTTTTGAATTTGATTTTCCCCCTAATTTAATCCCCCCTCTCCCAAACACCCTAGCATTTACTTCCTTTAAAAACCCCATCTATAAATATATTAAACAACCATGGTGACATTACACATCCCCGTCTAAGACCTACTTTTACGGGAAGTAGTCTCCCTCTCTTCTACACACCCTAACCTGAGCCTCACTATCCTCATAAAACCCCTTTACAGCATTTAATAACTTACCACCTATTCCATATACTTGCAACATCTGCCACATTGCTCCTCTATCCACTCTATCATATGCCTTTTCTAAATCCATAAATTTCAATAAAAACTTCCCTATCTTTATCTAAATACTGTTCACATATATGCTTCAATGTAAACACCTGATCTACACATCCCCTACCCACTCTAAAACCTCCTTGCTCATCCGCAATCCTACATCTGTCTTACCTCTAATTTTTCAATTTTAACCCTAACCGTACACTTTTCCTGGTATAAATCAGTAAGCTTATTCCTCTATAATTTTTACAGTCCTTTTTGTCCCCTTTCCCTTTAATAAAGGGACTATACATGCTCTCTGCCAATCCCTAGGTACCTTCCCCCCTTTCATACATTTATTAAACAAAAGTACCAACCCACTCCAAAACTATATCCCCCCCCGCTTTTTTCATTTCTGTCATGATCCCATCAGTTCCAGCTGCTTTACCCCCTTTCATTTTACGTAATGCCTCACGTACCCCCCCCACCCCTTACATTCTGCTCTTCTTCACTCCTAAAAGATGGTAAAACCTCCCCCGACCAGTGCATGAAATTACTGCCTCTGTTTCTTCCTTAACATTTAAAAGTTCCTCAAAATATTCTCGCCATCTTCCCAATACCTCCATCTCCCCATCTACTAACTCCCCTACTCTGTTTTTAACTGACAAATCCATATTTTCCCCCAGGGTTTCTTAACTTGTTTAACTCACTCCAAAATTTTTCTTATTTTCATTAAAATTTTTTGACAGTGCCCCCCTCCCACTCTATCATCTGCTCTCCTTTTGGGACTCTCTCACCACTCTCTTTACCTTTCTTTTTACTCTCCATATACTCTGCTCTTCTTATAAAACTTCTGCTTTGTAAAAACCTCTCATAAGCTACCTTTTTCTCTTTTATCACAAACCCCTTTTCTTCATCATTCCACCAATCACTCCTCTTTCCTCCTGCCCCCACCCTCCTATAACCACAAACTTCTGCCCCACATTCTAATACTTTCATTTTTAAAACTATTCCAACCCTCTTCAACCCCCCCACTACTCATCTTTGCACTAGCCCACCTTTCTGCCAATAGTCGCTTATATCTCACCCGAACTTCCTATAATACATACCTATAATAAAGTTTAATTGATAAATTACAAACAGTAAGTGGAGAATCAACACTTTTTCACTGATAGGAGGCACTTCACTGCTTATCTTAGGCTTTGAAGAATTACCATCGGTACTTATACGCTTTGGTGCCACTGTTAAGCAAAATAAAGATCATTTTCAGGCATGGTAAACAGTGGATAACTGAAACCAGGGAAACTGAATCTGTAGATATGGGGGTTCTACTGTAATTCTTATACAGAAAAGATTACAAAAGCAATAAAAACAAAAGGTCGGGTGACCTTTTGATGTTTCGTTACCCAAATAATAGCCTGATTACATTAAGATGTAATCTTTTATACTGTTGTGTTCTGGGCACCTCTGCAAAAACAGTGATTATGTGTGAGTGAGGTGAAAGTGTTGAATGATGATGAAAGTATTTTCTTTTTGGGTCACCCTGCCTCAGTGGGTCACCCTGCCTCAGTGGGAGACGGCCGACTTGTTAAAAAAAAAAAATGCCAGAATGTATATTATACAAATCTACTTTATTAACTATGAATAATTAATTCACCTGTTAATGATAATGTTTATGAAATATATACAGTGGACCCCCGCATAACGATGGCATCACATAGCGATTTTTCCGCATACCGATTACTTTTATCGCAAAATTTTTGCCGCGCATACCGATTAAAAACCCGCTTACCGATTTTCGTCCGAGACGCGTCCAATGTGCCCTCAGCCAGCCTCACATGTGCCGGCCATCCCATTGTTTACCAGCCAGCCTCCGCGGTAACATCCAAGCATACACTCGGAATATTTCGTATTATTACAGTGTTTTCGGTGCTGTTTCTGGAAAATAAGTGACCATGGGCCCCAAGAAAGCTTCTAGTGCCAACCCTGTGGTAAAAAGGGTGAGAATTAGTATGGAAATTAAGAAAGATTTTGAAGGGTTTGGGGCTAACCTGAGAAGCCTATGCCAGTTGTGGAATCCATTGTGCCTACTTCAAAGATTAAGGAAATGTGTGCACAGTGGGTTGAACTGCAAACCTTTATAGATGAAAATCACCCTGACACAGCTGTTGCAAGCCGTGCTGGTGACTATTTCAATGACAATGTTGTGGCCCATTTTAGACAAATCGTAAAGGAACGGGAGGTACAGAGCTCTATGGACAGATTTGTTGTGCGACAGAGGTCCAGTGACTCTCAAGCTGGTCCTAGTGGCATTAAAAGAAGAAGGGAAGTAACCCCGGAAAAGGACTTGCTACCTCAAGTCGTAATGGAAGGGGATTCCCCTTCTAAACAGTAAGAAGATAATGCTCTCCCCTCCTCCCATCCCATCAATCATCACCAGATCTTCAATAAAAGTAAGTGTCATTTAATTGTGCATGCCTTTTTCAGTTTGTGTGTATTAAAATTAACATTTCATGTGGTAAAAAAAAATTTTTTTCATACTTTTGGGCGTCTTGCACGGATTAATTTGATTTCCATTATTTCTTATGGGGAAAATTCATTCGCATAACGATTATTTCGCATAACGATGAGCCCTCTTGCACGGATTAAAATCGTTAACCGGGGGTCCACTGTATATATTTTTTTTTACAGGATCTGGTGCTCATGAGTTCCGTTTACGTGAAACGGAAAAGCAGCTCTTCTATTATAAAAAACTAAGTCGAGATTTAAAGGCCAAACTCCGTCAATACAGCGAGGATACTCGGAACGATAGACTGAGGGAAGCACAGGCAGGTGAGTCGCCTAGAATTTTTTATAGGGAGCAACTTAACAGTAGGTTTTAATTTAGATAATTATGGTAAGTGTACACATATAACATTTACTAAGGAGAGAGAATCTTAGAATGATGTTTTGGTTCGACTTGGACTAAGGTAAATGGTCCAAGTTGGATCGAAACCTCGTCATAAGCTTCTTTCTCCTGTGTGAGAGTTATTTATTTATTGTTCCAGCCAAGGTATTGTACCTTTTTGTTCTTTATGGTACATGTGTTGAACAAAAGATATCTTTTAATAATGGTACAATTATCGACAGTGTGTTAGATAAAAGGATGCTTGTGCAATTGATGCGATATATTATTGTGGCAACGTTTCACTCTCCAGAAGCTTTGTCAAGCCGTTACCAACACTACAAGGACACAGTATAAAAACAGTGTCATCATCTCTGAAGTATTAGCAAGAATTCTTCTCAAAGCAATAAACCCCACACAGCTGCTACTAGTACAAGTACATAGTAGTAGTACTACTACTACCACCACTACAAGTAGTAGTAGTAGTAGTACTACTGCTACTACCACCACTACCACTAAAACCCACCACCACCACTACTATTATACCTACAGTGATTATGTATCTTAAATCTACCCTAATACCTAGCATTATATACC